GGGGTGTCCGTGGACACTGCGCCGGCCTCCTCCAGGCCGCCGGCCTCCAGGGGCCCCGCAGGCTTCAGCGCCACCCACTTTCCGTCTCACCCTCGGGCGCCGGCCCCCCGGCCCGGGGGCTGCCCTCACCGGGCGTGGGAACGTGGCCTCGCCCCTGTGTCCCTCCCCCACGCGGCAGCTGGCCCTGGCCCCCCGGGCCGGCTCCGGAGGCCCTGCCCAGCGTGTCTGCAAGGGGACTCTGCCAGGCGCACCGGGCTGTGAGGGAGGCCTGCCCAAAGGGTGGGCGTCACCCCTCCCTTCAGAGGAGGGTGAGCTGAGCACCCTCACCCTGCCTGTGCACAGCAGCGCCGGGCTCTCGGGGTTGGGGCCCAGAGCCTGAAACCATCCGCACCTGACCACCAGGCCTTCAGACCTGGACTGCACTAGCCGGCCCTCCTGCACCCCCAGGTCGTGAGGTGGGCCAGGGCTCGGCTTCCAGGATGCCATGGGGAGAGCCAACCCCCGTCCACGGCGAAACCCTATGGGTCTCCCCTGGACGGCCTGGTGTGAGCCTCTTCCCCACGGTCTAGTTTGTTTCACGCTGCGTGACCAGGCCCGACTGACAGACCCTGACGCGCTTCGCGCTGAGGCCGCAGGAGCAGGACGGTGCACGCAGCCGGGGTGGGGGCCGAGACGCCTGCCCACAGCTCCCTCAGACGCGGCCGGGCCCTCTCCCTCGTCACCTGGCTGAGCGACCGCCTCCGCCTGGGCGTGAGCACTGATGCCAAGACGCCAGGCCCTGGGAGCCTTTCAATGCCTCCCTGAAGTCTGGGGTGCTCTTGGGGCCCCACTGGGCCTGCTTTCTATTAGCTTCTCAAAGACAATCTCCCTATGTCCAGAAACTGACAGGCCTAGCAGCAGCACGAGTGTCCATGAAAACTTGACCTTAGACACATTCACAGAAAGGGGAACGGGGCCCTCAGTGGCGCAGCGGGTCACAGCGCAGCACTGAGAAGCTAAAGCCGCTTCCATGTGAGTTCGATCCCCGCCTGCCCCGGAGGTGACCCCAGGGCGCGGCAGACCTCTCCTGACCCGCCCGCTGTCCCCCTCAGCAGTGGACTTCGTCAGTCAGCCTGTCCTGCTCCCCGCTCTGTCTCTGGGAAGCCTCTCACCCTCCGCACCTCTGGCCCGTACCCCAGTTCTGCATGAATAAATAAATAAAATCTTTAAAACAAACAAAAAAAGGGGGTGCGTTTCAGGAAGACAGTGGAATCGAGGGGGGCGGGCGTGGGCGGCAGACGCACCTCTGGAGGACTGCACCCGCAGCAGGATGTCCGTGATCACGGCCTTCTTCTCTCTGACGGTGGACGTGAGGTATTCGTGGTCCAGGAGCTCGAGAAAGAGCCGCAGCTCCACTATTAACTCCTCCATGGCTGAAGGAAGGGAGAGAGCGGGCGCGTCAGCCCCGCGGCCGCCAAGTCGGGCCCGAGGCCCGTCCCACCCAGGCAGCCCCGGGCCTGCCCTCGCGGGCCTCCAGCCCAGGTCTGCCAGGACACAGCGTGCCCCCCGGTCACGGGCACCTCACCCCAGGGCCTCGGGCGGAGGCTCCTCGGCCGCCCGCTGGCGTGCGGGCTGGCGCTCGGGTGTCGGGGCGCTGGGGTGACGGCAGGAGGTCAGGCCTCAGGGCTGGGGTGGGGGGTGTAAACCCACTAAGGGGGCTTCAGGCAGTCACTGGGGCCGGCCCCCCTGGGAGGCCGGGAGCCCCCCGACAGCCACCAGGATGTGGGGTACCGAGGGACCGGCCTTTCCTTCCGGGCTGTGGCCAACTTGACCCCCAGAGTCACACGAAGGGGCGACAGGGCTGATGTCGGCAAGCGTTAAGCCAAACGTGAGCCTCTGAGGATGGCGAAACCCCCTGCCGGGACCCCCTGGGGCCAGGCATTGCGGCCTGGTCCGCAAACCCACCCCTCGTGGGCTCTCAACTCTCCTCCGTATTCTCAACTCCAGGCATCTCTGAGGGAGCAGCAAAAACAGCCGCTTTGACTAACTCAACTTGAGGCCCCTCCTGCCGCCCTGTGGCACACAAGGGCAGCCTTGTCCTGCCGCCTGAGCGGGCGCGCCCAGAGGAAGCGCAAGTATGTCCCGAGCTGCAGGTGACACCAGCCACCTTCTCATGAGGCAGCAGAGAGGTGACAGGCAGAGTGTCCGGATTGAATATTTGACCGGTATTTTCTCAAAAGCTTGCAAAATGAGCCAACTGCCTCAAAGTAAACAATGATAGTGTTTGCTGTCAAAGATGAAACTGGAGCTTCCAAGTGAAAACACGAATTTGAAACACTCGAGTCCACCTCACAGCTGGACAGCTTTCCAGCAGACTCTTCCGTGAGCTCGGGCGTGGCAGGGCTGGAACTGACACTCGCTGGCCCTGTGAGGAGGCTGAGGCCGGGAGAGTGCTCCCGGTGGGCACAACCAGCCAACGACAGGCCCCAACACGCCACCTCCCGCCCAGGGGGACGCAAGAGCAGGGGCCGGTGGGCTTCCGGGGCCGAGCGCAGGAGCTCACAGGGGCCCAGGGAACAGCATCTGGGCCTCACTAGGAACCTCACCGCTCAGGTGGCCTTTTGCTGTTGTTTCCAGGTAAGCCCATTTGTGGTGAAATAGGTGACTGTTTTGCTCAAAGCTAAGATACCGTCCTGGGACGTCAACACAACTCAGTAAACCAAGATGTTGCAAAAGACGGGTCCCCTGTGCAACCACAGAAATCTCCTCAGGTAGCAGAGTGAAACAGCTTCCGATGCAGCGTGCACAAGGCCAGGAACCAGGAAGAGGCCCCATCTACACGGGAACCTGCCGTGGTTGCTGCGCCGCCGTCTGCTATGTCAAACCTTCGTTCTGTGCATCTGGGGCTAACGGCCAGGGGAGCCAACCACTCTTCCAGAAATCTGGAAACTTCCAAAAAGAAGAACAGGAGCTACCACTGGCCGAGTCTGCTGGACAGGCCCCGGCACACTTCCCTCTCGCCTCCTCACGCAGCCGTGTGAAGCCAGGTGTCCTTGGCCCCTTCCACCAAAGCAGTCTCAACTGCCTGAATGCAGACGTGAGGAGCCAGCTCTCCTGCCCTGGCCAGGTAACACGGTTACCTGCAGGGACACAGGACGCCGCGCTCCCCAGTGCCTGGGTTTGAGAGGATAAGCACTTCACATAACTCATTTTTAAGATGAATCACATGCCCAAACCTGGCACTCCTAAGCGAGGACATGATAGTGTCTACAGATACATGCACGTGATCACGTCTCTTGGGGTTTTCTACGCATATATTGTGAGAGCAACAAGTCCTAGTCAAAAAAGATTGAGAACCACCACCCCCGGGATTCTTTCCAAACCTGCTGTTCGACATCCCCTACATGATACGCTTCTCACACAGACCACCGCTGTGTAACTGCCACAGCTGCCTTCTGGGGTCGAGAAGTGGTAAACGCGCTCCAGTAGGCAGGTGTGCCCTGGGCTGTTCACTTTTCCTACATGGACACGTTTCCCTTTGTAAAGATGAAGAGACTAAATGAAGTAAACCTTGAAAGTCTTTTTCTGCAGACACACGCTACAGTCTTCTCACACATCAAGACTACCATCCTCCCACACACCATCTCCTCACTCACACCAGTATCCTTATACTCACACCAGTCACCTCACATGCATCAGTCTTCTCACACACACTCCAGTCTCCTCACACACATCCCAGTCTCTTCACACACACTCCAGTCACCTCATACACACCACTCCACTGTCTCCTCACAACACACCAGTCTCCGCATACACACCAGTCTCCTCACACAAATACCAGTTTCCTTACACCCACACCAGTCTCCTCACACACATCAGTCTTCTCACACACACCACTGTCTCCTCGCAATATACCAGTCTCCTCACACACACCAGTCTCCTCACACCACCATTTCCTCACAACACACCAGACTCCTCACACACACATCAGTCTCCTACGAAACATACACCAATCTCCTCAAACACACACCAGTATACTCACACACACTGGTCTCCTAATACACACCACTGTCTCTTCACACACACCACAGTCTCCTCACACACACCAGTCTCCTCACACTCACACACACACGTTTCCTCCAACACACCAGACTCCTCACACACACACACACACCAGTCTCCTACCATATACACCGGTCTCCTCAAACACACACCAGTCTTCTCACACACACATTAGTCTCCTAATATACATCACTGTCTCATCACACACACCAGTCTCCTCACACTCACACCAGTCTCTTCAACACACCAGTCTCCTCACACACACACAACTGTTTCCTCACACACACACACCAGTCTCCTCATACACATCCCACTCTTTGGAAACAACTGCAATCCCAGCCTGCCTACATATGTTCTTTGTGCCAACTCTCCTAAGGTGGCTCAACAGTCGGCCTCTATCCAACATGGCCAGGTCACCAGAGACTCTGAATGTCCCACCTGCCTTCACCTTGTTCACCTTGGGTCACTGAGCTAAATTTGAGAGTCTAACTTACACACAGTTCTGGAACCACTGTTGAGCCCAGGCCTAAGCTGCCTTTCAGAACCTTCTTTGCCCCTTCATGCCTCTCTCCGGTGAATTTACTGGCCTGGAGTGACTGACAACGACACTAGCCCCTGTCGCTCCTCCACTGGCCCCTGCCTCGCTGAAGGCTGGGGGACCCGCTCACCTCAGCCGGCTGGGGCATAGCCTGGAGGCCGTCACCCCTGCTCTGCCGTCACTCGCACCACTGCAGCCTCTCTGCCTGCTCCTGCCAGTCAGGCCTCGGGACCCACTCAGGGATCAACACCCAGGCCGGGGCCTCTGCCCTGACACCGTGTGACGGGTCAGCATGTATCTCCCGCTGAAGGCCTGGTCTGCCCACTGCCTGGCGGCCGGCACCAGGCCCAACGGGGCACCTCGCACACGACAGTTTTGGGGAATGCATGCAATTGTGTGTTTCTAGAGAGCCACAGAAGGCAAGCCTGAGATTTCTTTTGAAAAGAACACTGAGGAGAAAATGCCACGCGGGGCCGTCCCTGTGTCGAAAGTAATGCGTCTTCCGTAATGTTCGTAGAGCCCATGCACGAAAGCAGAGAAAGGACGCCCGGACTTAGGCTCCCCCCAACAGGCGCTGGGCCCTGTTCAGGGCCTCCCTGCCCTGGCGGCTGCAGACTTCAGGGCCGGCCTAGTACTGCCTCAGGCTCAGCCAGGCCTGCGCATACTTTCCCTTATAGGGTCACAGGCCAGGGTCTTCCCGCAGACTCACCCCGATGTCTCCACAGGCTCTGTGCAGGTCTAACAGGGCTGCCTGGCCTGAGCTGAGCCTCTCACAGTGGGCGGCGCAGCTCTCGGAGCGGGCTGCTGGGGACGTTTTCCTCAGCGACAGGTAAACCCGTGAAGGCGCCAGAAACCAGCATCTGAGTGACTGGGCACAAGTGGAGGCCACATGGCCCGTGGATGCCCAGCACCCAGCCAGGACGAACCCGCAGGCTCTGGCTCCGGGAAGACGGCGGGAAACAGGAGCCGCGGCTTCAGCACCTCGAGAGTTAAATTCCAGCCTGAACCGAGAAAACAGGCGGCCTCCGGCCTCCGCACTCCCGGGTCTGACAGGCCCACACGTCATGGTTCAGTTTCAGCCCCTGCCAGAGCAGGCCCATCGCACCCCTCAGAAGCGCGCAGGCCAAGAGGTGGGGCACACCGCCTCTCCGAGCCCCTCTGACCCTCTGTGGCCCGGGGCCCCAGGCAATGGCGAGCGGGCCGCCCCTCCGCGGGGAAGCCATGGTGACTCCTGCACAGAGACAGGGAGGCTGTAGCCTGCTCTGACTGCGGAGAAGGCAAAAGGCAAAACCCAGCTCCGGACGGCTCTTTACCGTCTGTGGTGTTCGCTGGGTTTTTCACTTGCTACTATGTGTAAACAGGCACCACCCCCAAATCGAGCTCCCCGACTCCTGAGGCTGAGTAGGAGACCCCCGAGGAAAACCGGGCTGGTTGCTGAGAGAAGGGTTACTTCATCCGTCTGCCGGTTCTGCGCCCCCTCTGTCTCTGGTGAACCCTCTCGCCGCCCCTGTGCCTCTGGCCTGTCCCCCAGTTCTGTTAGAATAAATTAGTAAATCTTTAAAGAAAATAAAAAATAAAAACAAGAGACGGGTTAAATGCCACAGTGAGAAATAGCACCTCACGCCAGTACAGCCAGTCATCAGGAATAATCTAGAGACGCCCACCACCTTCAAGACGGTGCACTCCGAACTGAAGGCCGACCTCCGACACCCAGGGCTCACCAGTCAGGGCAGCAGGTCACATTCAGACTCAGAAAAAATTGTTCCATGAAAGGAGCATGGGGGGGGGCAAAAAGTGGCACCGACAGGTCCATCCTTGAGCAGGTAACCCC